GACGTGGCCGGCGGCTTTGTACCAGTTTGCTGTGTAGTGCTTTTCACTGGGACCAAGAGCAGGAGACGGGCAAAGCTGCGTTTCCCTCTCAATGCCTGCATTCGGGCCGTCTTTCTACTGGACGATCCATGTCCCTTTTGGCACTAGTATGTCTTGGCGGTAATTCAGTTTCTCCTTGATATTTCAAATTTCATCTCTGAACGCTCATTCTTGCATTGCTGCAAATTATTGTCACGACTTGACTAGGAAATAAAGCTGAGCGACATTAAAGGATGGCGATAGAGGAAGGATAGGCTTACACATGGTTGATTTTTCGACGAACTCCCTAGAATGAGAAACCTAGGTACTTTAAACATCCTCAGGCCGTTTTTGTCTATTGGCTAACACTGTCGATGCAGTGTACCTTTCCGTTCGTAAAATTCGGACCATGATTGTATTCCTTATCGGATGAACCTCTGATTCACGCTTCGGCTCTTCTTTCGCGCATTTGTATAAGAATGAACTATCAAGCTCTATGAGGTGTTCATGAGGAAGAATCTTTGAATGCGGTCACAGGTACACTGTTGACGCGTTTCCAGTCGAGATGGAAAATCTTGAAGCCGCGTTTGCACTTTTATTTTGATGACAGCGGACCCGGATGCATGGCACCAATAATATGTATTGCCTCGTGTCTCCGGACAGACTAATGAAGGACGGGAAGTTGGATACCGGAGCGACTTTCCTTTGTCTTGCCACAAACAATGTGTTACCTTCACCGTAGCCTCTTTACTTCTCGTCGACGATCGCTTTGGCTCCCAATCCGGTCTTCCTCCCTTGCATCATCCCCTTATAGATGATATGTCCCACTCATGTCCAAATTGCAATATGGTATGTGGAGGATCCTCCTTCACCCCAGGTCCTGATATCATGGCCCTTTTGCATACCAATTGACCTCCGTCAGCATCAGAGGAGGCTATATTCAGAGATATCCGAAAGATGGGATCTGGCATGCTTTTAGAGCTTGATTCCTCGATATCAGAGCTGCAGATGGAATTGAAATCCCTCATCCACACACGCAGTGAGCTTCAGTGGAGTATGGAGCACTCAACCGAGATCCTTAATCCCGTCCGTCGTCTTCCTGAAGACATGTTACACGAGATTTTCACATATTGCCTTTCCAACCTGACACCGAGTCGTACTTCCTTCCATTGTGCAAATTCACCCCCATGGATCCTTGGCATGGTGTACAGGATGTGGGGGCAGACTATGCTATTGTTTCCACAGCTATGGACGCATGTGCACTTCGATATGTGTATTGTGCCCAACCCCATTCGTATCCAAAAGCGACTGTCAAAGAGATCACCTACTGACTGTGTTGTTTCACATGAGTGCTTGCTGAAGAATCTCCATCTTCAACTGCAGCGCTCGGCCGGCCTTCCCCTTGATATCTCATTCTTTCACGATATAGATGTGCCAAATGAAGGAGCCTCATACCTTTGGCCTCTCATTGCCTCTTCCTACCGATGGAAGCAGTTGTCAACCAGTGTGTCAGGGCTCACGTTGGAACCATTCTTATTTATTCAGAATTCCATCCCTGCACTCGAAACCTTGGAGATAGTTGAAGGGCTGACAACACCTTCCCATCTGGTCCAACTTTTATCTGCTACCAATCTTTGAAATCTCATCATCAATAATGTTCATCATCCGGGTTGGCTGGACCTGCAGCTCCAATGGGTGCAGCTGACTACTTTGACACTGAAAGGTGTTATAACTGATTCAAATGCACTGCAGACAGTGCAAGTTCTCCTTCAGATGTCATCGCTAAAATGGTTGACATTCACATCACCAGTCATTCCTTGGCAAGTTCACCAGCATACACATGCGGCTCCCATCGTTTTTCCCAAAATTGCATCCCTATCCTGCATCATAGGATATTCGGAGATGATGCTTAGCTCCAAGCCTCTTGACAGCATATTGTCATTCCTCGTCTTACCATCATTAAACCATCTGAATATATCATATGTGGATGTTCACCCTGCAACAGTTGCAAGCCTGAGTGACAGTGTAGTTCCCATGTTGCAACGGTCAATCTGTGCTCTGAAGACACTCAAGCTCTCATGGGGCTCAATGATCTCTGATCCATTGTGCCTACTCCGATGTGACACCTGTTCATCAGTGGAGGCCATCTCTATCTTTAGGTTCCCATTCACCCATATTCGAGATATCCTTTCACATCCTTACACTGCGCCTTTCCTCCCTGGACTGCACTCCATCGAGATAGATATGTCTTCTTTGAGTCTTGCTGCAGGACAATACAGGTCACTCGAGAATTGCATTCTACTCTTTTTGGAGTCCCACGAAGCAGGTGTGGTTGGTATACACCGTTTGCATATCCATGTTCAAATGGAATATATTATGTCGGAGACCTTCAAACGTCGTCTCATTGATTTCTGCAGGTGGGGTCTCTGCTTTTACACATCTCGGTATGATCAACATGATCCCAGGCCATTTTAGCAGTATTCATAGATACGGTGGTAGCATTTCAATGAGTGTCTGTTAGCAGGGGATGGGATCCCAGACTTATAGGTACGGACTTATTATGCCTTACGCGTCTCTCATATGGCCATTGGACATTATTGCCGTACATTATCATTTCTTGCTCCTTAGTCTTCAACCGCCATCATTGTCTGACTAAAGCTCTAACAGTCATGTCGTTTGTATAGGGGTACTGGTTATCAGTGTCTGACTTCGTGTTTATAAATGCTTATTGAATTTCTTTGTAAGCTTCGAATAACGGTCTCGACAATATTTCCAAAGGAAAATGAATTTGAGAACTATGGGTGCCTGGTGAGCAAGCTGATGTCACACAGGCAAGCCATCACAACTTTGCAGTATAACAGTCTATATTGGAATTGCTGATCTGGGTAATTGACTGAAGTCAAATCCGCCTCTCCTTCCTCTGATTGCACTCGCCAGCTCCGGAGGCTTTCCACCACTGTCCCCATAGTTCAGTTTCAGTCACATCACAAATCAAGATACATACTTGAACGGTCCGACATATTTCTTCCTCCAATGATATTTTAGGTTCATAGCCCAGAAGATTACACACCTGTCGTTGTGATATTCAGACACACAGCTAAGCACAAGAGGAAGAATGGCACCTTGTCAATATTATACCATTGCACACCTGTCGCAAATCGAACAGTAGACATGTTGAACTCTGACTTTGCCCAAATAACCCTGCACAAAAATTCGGTGACCACGGCGAGAAAGAGTGCCAGAGCTCGGGGAATTGTGATAATCCTCTTCGTTCCATCATCTCCCAACTCTCTGAATATCAGTCTGTTAAAAGGCCACTGCGGCATCAGTTGTCCATTGGTGATGAAAAATACTTGACCAGCAATGCTTTCAGGACTCATGAGTAAATGATCCACACCCAGAATGTGAGCATGGGCAGCGTTACCCACATAGAGATAATCGATGAGATTCATATTATCTCCGATTTGTATATTCTCCTGGCCGTGCTCAAGGAGCTTCGCTACACACCAGATGAGCTGCTTGTTGCGCTCCCTGACCAGCCTGAAATCAGCAAGTTATCACACAGAAAGCCAATTGGTGCTTACCTGGTCATACCGCATAGCCTAAGAACCATGACCGCCATACCATCCACTCCATTCGCATCAAGTACGGTTTGCTCAGCCAAAGCCTTAGTATGATGATATGCATCGTAACTTTGAGAAGGTATCCAAACCTCATCTTCTTTCACTCCAGCCAAATCAGCACCCATCCAAATGATGCCAGTCAAGGATGTGTATACAAGTTCCTTGGTATGTGTGGCCCGACAGGCAGATACAACCAAATGAGTTCCCTCCTTGTTGATATGAAAGTACACAGAAGAGGGTAGTCCATGAATTGGAGAAGCCGTATGATAGACTATGGTTGGCTTGAACTAGTAAAGGTTCACCTCCAGTCAACTCCAGCTCTACATAGAGAAAATATGCACCTGCTTCAAAACTTCAGTTAAATATATCTCATTGGTTATGTCTCCAGTGAAATATTCCACCCCTTCCACTGCCTCGCTTGGGGAAGGCTGAAGAAAATCGAAAACACTGATTCTCATATTGACTCGTTCTTTTAGCATGGTAATGATATGGGATCCAAGAAAGCCAACACTGCCAATGACCATATGTACAGTGACAGGCATGTCTTGTCTTAGAAAAATGTCAAGGAGTAAGGAAAGAGTAAAGTGAGAATCAAACGTGGTCTTCCATAGAGATAAAGTGCCGTATACTTCTTGGTTCAATCCATATTTTGGATATATAATATAAGGGAGTCTGAGATAAGTGGCCGATCAAATAGGTCATCAGAAAATAGAAAGCAAGGGAAGGAGGGTAATTCGGGCATCTTGGATCCATCCAGTCAGTTAGGGGTCTTTAGGGTCGGATTTGACATTTGCCCACTGCTAGCTTGTTGACCGATATGATGATCAAGATTTACATATGAATCACTGTGCAGAAATGCAGGAGCCAGATGAATGGTCAGTAATCTCCAGCCATCATCATACCATTCAGGCTTCACTCCTCATATTGCTCTTCTATGGCTGCACATTCTGTCTGTGTCTTTACCTCTCTGGCAGTGCTTGTAACAGTATACCTTTCACAATTGTCGGCCACATACCGAAAATACAAGGCTTTGGTATGTCTTGAATGGTAGTTGTGTATTTTGTATATTAATGTACCTTTCTACAGCCACATACCTATTGTAGAGCATAGTGGACTATTTGTCTCATATCTTGTGGTCTTTCAATTCCTCCATGATGCATGGCCATTGCCAAAGGAAGGGTGTGTATACAATACATTTTCCAAATTGTGATCTGAATAAAAATACAGTATAAGAACAGTATATTCAAAGTTGCACAGATGGACCACTGGCTCATAATTGGTACATGGGAACACCAAAGACCTGCTAAATGCTCATCAAGAAAGTCTTTCTCTAGAAGCTACTCTGGTTGATGTAAGTTTATGCCTACTTTTCCTAATTGCCTTAATGAAGTGCTTCCAAAGCTCTTGCAGTCAGACCACACTCTCGAAAAGGCCATAACCACAAACCTGTACCATATCTCCATAGTACACCACACATTAAACAAGAAACTTGAGTCCTCGGTCCTGGGAATGTTAGACAAAATCAAGATCTGTTATCATGATCAGATTGATACAAAAGGTCTCCTCCCGTAGCTATTCTTTACACATCTCTTATGAGTGCTTAACTGACCCCCTTTAAATGGGTGGGCCATCTTTCCAGTGACCAATTTTTTTTACCTGCACCATGTGTCAAGTGATCAATCGTTGGTTGTCGGAGAACTTCTTTGGTTAGTATCACCTCTCTTCACCTTTGCTTCACCATTTCGATGAGGTTGACCCCCTGTAGGTCATAATTGTTGGAAATCCTTAGTGATGCACAGGGTAGACTCCAGGCTGGTAAGGCCAGAAAGAATGAACTTCTTTATTCTACAGCTCCTACAGAGCTTGTATTTATACTCTCCAGGCTTGTATCTAGAATTTACTACAACTTTCTCTTTCTCTTGAGGTTACTCATCAGCTCTCAGCATGATGCCGGATTGCCTTTTCTAGAACTTTCCAGCAAAATCCCAACAGTAATGATGATTATTGCACCATCAACATCACTTTTGCTCACCATATTATGTTCGGGTCAGCCATCATCCAGTCTTCCCGGTCTTTCTCATTGTCGGGCCTACAGGAAAGAGTGGCAAACCATCTACATCCCCTGCTTGAAGAGCATAAGCATTATGACAAACTTGTATGTTATTCCTAGATATTGTGTCCTAGGCTTTGATCAACCTTCGGCCAGGATAATATGCTAAGCTAGATATGAAGCTGATCGTCCCAGTCGTGAATCCGCCATAGCTGTTGCTCTATACATGCTCAATGTCAATTTACAACATTACACACAACAGCTATGGTATGTCTGAAACCATTCTTGATCTTGCTTTTGAGAATAAAGAGACAGTGGAAATCCTGACTGTGCTCCTTTGTATAGATATAACATCTTGCACCAATGTTCATGCAACATAAAACATGTAGAAGAGCAGATTTGCTACATGAATATGTGCCTTTCTTAGGTAACATCTACCCCTGACGGCAATCAAAACTTGTCCATGAAACGTAAATGGACGAGAGGCAAGCCCAAAGTTCAAACAGCCAGTTCATTATGTTCATGCATCTTCCGGATTTTAGAAATGAAATATATTAGTTACTTCAGTATCATTCGGTGGAACATGGCTTGGAAAGACGAATCGAGAGCTGTATATGGTCTCTTCAAGTTCAAAAATCCACTCTGAATTGTTTTTTGACCTTCGGACTGTGAGTGGCAATGAAAACAGAAAAGGCTGCCATTATTATCAGGCAGACGTCTTCTACTTGTATCTTCTCACTGACCCGCGAGCGCTCACGCACTCGTCTTTTCTCATCATGAGATAATAACACCTTTTTCTTAACTTATCGTTCCATCAAGGTCTGAATATGCAAATATTATATTCACAAGGAAAGAGAAGTCAGACTCGACCTGTCACCGGCAACTACTTTTGCCCCACTCCCGCCGGTATTTTGAATGACCAAAACAGGACTTTCTTCTCTGCCTCATAATTCTCATCATCACCACCAATACTATTACCACATCCTCCTTTCTCCAATGTATCTGAACATCTTTCTCCAAGCTTCCGAGGAATCGCCTAGCCTCGTATCTCAGGGCGGTAAACTAGCCACATTCTTTCGTGCGATCATCCATGGGAAGTTGTCCCAGCCACCGCCAGTGGAACTTGTCGACCACTGCCGACTTTTTAGTCAGCAAAATAAAGAGGATGGGGAAAAGGCGAATGCTGAGG